AAACAACCAAACTAACATCAATCCAAGTTTAAGTAGTACAACGGAACAGCACGAATATTTTTTAACAACTAAATTTCTAATCTCTTAATAAGAATAACATTTGTTTGTTCTTTTATTATTAAGTAATATGTCATAAATTACTAATGTATTAATGGTACATATTTTTTTATTGTGCAACTCTGTGAGTAAAATTGCAAAGAAGTGGTCTTTATGTTGAGCCACTCTCTTCTTCCGTGATATTATCAATCTACCTATGGTAAATTTTTACAAAGTGTAGAATGTAAAGAAAATGTCCTGTAGAAAAGATAAAATAAGTTTCTAATGGCATGAAACATCTGAATAATTTAAAATAATAACAACTAATACTTATCAATAGGGAATTATCATTGAAGTTGCTATGTTGAAGTCACATATTTGAACCAAGTTAATGATAAATATATTTTGTATATCTATTCAAGAGCTGGTCTTAGTTAGATTACCAGGAAGAACTAGATAATTGTTTCATCCTAGCATAGGAAGTTTCAGAAGCAAGCATCCTAGATCGGATCACAAATCGAACCAAGGGCTTTAGATACCTTATAGAGTGTTTAACTTTTAGATTGTCAAGCCGGAATTTAACGATGTACATGTCTAACTCTAATCAGTTCATCAAATTACTCCACAATCTATTGTCTGCGGCTTCTCACTAGATTTCGTGGAATTACCTCTCGAAATTAGTTGCTAGTGAACACATGATTATTGTCAGTGTAGGGTCATGTTGTAGATTATTGCGTTTTCATGGATTCCTTCACTGAATGAACTTGTAGTGCCGCGATTCGTTAATCGTTTACTTCGATAACCGTTATGATTCTAATCTTAACGGTGCGTAAAATCAGAAGACAAAGGATAGCAGCAACTACAGTTTATTGTCGAATGACTCAGGTTCGAAAGCTAACAACACCTGAGCGAATGTGAACGAGCGAGTGAACAGGCGAACAAGCGAAGGAAACGAACGAGGAGCAAACGAGCAAATAGCAAGCAATTACATAGGCAATTTATAGTAAAATTTAATAAGTGCACAGCAAAGCAAAGCAAAGGCTGATAATAACATTTGCGTGCATACATATATGGGGAGGAGTATGAGTCATCGAATGATATTTAAGCAGTCAACATTTCGGCTAGAGTGTCATGTGCTCTAGTGGTATAGCAGTGCAAAGAATATGCAAATTGTTACTATCCAAATGACGATGTTTGTTAAGTAAGTTATAAAAAAGGGCTTAACCAAAATTGGCCATAATCGAAATTGATTGTAGGATGGTTGCTATATAACTCACCCCTGCAAAATGACGGAAGTTAATTAGTTACACCAGTGGATGTCAGTAAAGTTGTTCAGGGGCTACGAACTTACCACGGGAACGAAATCTCTGTGTTCAATCATCGGTGGCGGGTTCGTTGGTGAACACTGTTGATTTCCATACTAGAATTAAAAATCCTCCCGATGCTTCCTGATGACCTTACTACAGTCAATCCATGATACAATCTAAAGGAGTTCAACAATTTTCACAATCGCTGCGTACTAATTACACACATATCCGACTTTCATAATGTGAATAATATTGTACTTTTCTATGCCTCTACTTATTTAGTTAAGAAAAAATGCAAACATCTTTCTTCCTATCTATAATAATTGTGATTAAATGTCAGTTTCTACTAAGTATCGAAACAATTTGATTCGTTGAATTCACTTAGTCCTGGATTCACGCGTCCTGGATTCCACTGCTAGCCACTATCCATCTCTGCTTACCATGCTTGTGAATTAAGGTATATCGAGGCAATACGCACAGTATGCACATATGCCAATTAGAGACTGACCAGTTGCAGTCCTAAGCACATCGATGGGAAGATCCAAACAAACAATACTAAGTGAATTCAAACTTCACCCCATCGCACAAGCAAGTGGCTATCAGGACTCAGTGGCCGAGTGAATAACGCGATGGCGTTTGAAGCGGGGGTACTGGGTTCGAGTCCCAGAGTGAACATCAACTCTGAGATGCAGGTACATCCAGCTGACGAGTCCCAAATAGGACGAAACGCGCGTCCTGGATTCCACTGCTAGCCACTATCCATCTCTGCTTACCAAATTTGATTCGTTGCCATTGTTAAGCACAACACAGTGAGTTGTTTGTTTTGTTTTGATTTAATACATGTGTACATAAACGTGGCTATGGAATTCATTAAAATGTTATTTATACCAATTTATATTGTTCGTCATAGAAAATGAATTCATTTATCTTTTCTAGTCTATAATTCATATATTTCTAAATGTTATTTTGAGCAATACAAATCTATTATTAGATGTCAAGCTATACAAGATTGCAAGGCATATCATTACTGCTGCCATTTCAAAAGTTTTGAAAAATACCCACAAATAATCTACCACTTGAGATCCTGGATGCTAAGCAATGTACTATTGTTTATTATTATATATCACCCATTCGTCATCAAAAACACTAAGAATCCTCATATACAACTTTCTTGTGGTTATATCCTTCTTTTGTTGTTACTATATGATCTTTTTTGAGGCAGAAAACTTTGGTGACTGTAGTCAATTATCGCCTTGTTGATTTGCTCATATTTGCATTATTAAACTTACGGTCAAAGTCAATTTGACTTTTGACGTATCATCACATATTTCCTTCATGATCAGTATAATTTTTCCATGTCTTTGAAACACGAAGCAAAATGTTTTTGTAAAATTCTATTTGTACACTTTAAAAGCAAACACAAGGATCAAACATCAAGTTCATATTAAAAGACTTAACCAAGTTTTTTTAATAACATGTTGATCATAAAAAAATATTTTTCACCAATGAGTTTTGTCAAAGCACTACCTAGTAGTAGGAGGTTTTTAAAGATTTATTCAGTTTGACAAGAGTTCTCATCACAACTACACATGAGCCTTTCTCGGATTACGGGTGGTTTGAGTTCAGGGTGAATGAACATTCGTTGTAGTAATAGCAACCCCATTTCACAAAAAAATCTTACCCAAAAAGCTGATTATAAAAAACCATTTCAACCATTTGATTTTTTTCCTGGAAGTTAAAGGGTCATCATATAGAGGAGTCATGACGCCACACGGTGAATGCTGAGATTCTTCAGAAGTTACAAGACTAATGTCTTTTCTGACAACCAAAGAAACGATTAGTATAAGTGAATAGAATGTATGGACAATTTTGGAGACCTGGAGGACCATTTTTTTTACAAAGTAACATCATTTAGAGAATCAACGAGAACCATGGGGTACTTAACAGTTTCTACACAAAAGCACATACCTTTGAGTCTCTGGAATGTTGAACACTAAAAATTCAAGTTCCCATACCGGGAACGTTACTGTTAGTTTTCTGAATCAGGATCTTGTCGTTTACACTCCTATTTTAATAAGATGTATGTTTGTTCTAGGAAAATGCTTGTTCAGTTGGGACCACTGATTTTTATACGTGTTGAAAATTTAACTATAAGAAATCTTAGTAGTTTTAGTGAACCATATACATTAACAGAAGAAAATAAGTTTAAAAATGGTCTTAATAAGAATGTTAGGAAAGCTTAAAACAAATTGAGTGATTCGTTATGTTGTGGTTTATAAAATAAAAAACACGACTATCTTCCTCAACATTCGACTAATTCTCATCAAGCTAACATCTCTATAAGGATGAAAATGTCTAAATGATTTTGATGGAGTTTTGTTCTCTGAGCTGGATGGTTTAATCGTGGAGATTTCATAGTCCTTCTGAACGACATCATCAGCACAAAATGTCTAAATGATTTTTATGTTCGTGATTGTTACATATTAATAAATAACAATTAGTACTATTGTTTATTTGTTTAGTTAACACCACAGTATGATAATAAAATCTTTTTGCTTTTAATTTCTTTTTAGTTAATAAATCATGTTTTACCCTAAATAATTTCTAAACTCTAAAGATACAAAGATAAACTTTGTAATAGATAAATTATTGTAGCAGTTTAGTCATATTGCCTTTTAATGACGTGTCTTTAGAGAAAATATTGTTAATGTTACACGTGAAATTGTCTAATTTGAATCATAAAACCGTATTCTTAAAGTATACAAACTTAATAAGGTATGTGGTTTTAAGATCATCTGACTTTAATGAATTTTTCTAAAAAGGACAGCAGTTATTTACACTAATATAAATATCTGGAGATATACATGTCGTATTATTGTAAGTCAGATATTTTTAGCCCCGAAACGTTTTAATTGATTATTAACTCAAAAACAAGACTCAGTCTAACCTAAAATTATTTCATCTAATAGATGACTGATGTTTGTGTGAGATCATGGAATAAGAAATATCATGCACTTAGTTAAGAAACTTAATAGGATATGATCAGTTACATTGTGTTTGATGGGAAACGATTAATCCATAAATACTCGAGTATACTTTAACATTTTCATGCCTTTAAATATGATACAGATTGATATGGATTAGACTGTAAGTTTTGGTATTGATTAGCAGTAGGATCTACGATGTATTTTTGTCTTTACTATTACTGGCCTGGTGAATAAAATTGGATTCGAGTGTTAAAGCTACTACTAATGCTTGAATCTCAGTGCTCTATTAAGTAAACTTGTGAGTCACGACATCCACTTGTTCAACGGGGATGAATATGGTTTTTCTTAAAGGTTCTAAGCTTTATCGTGGTTGATATTCTTGTTCGAAGATATCATCCTTTGTTTTCATCCTAATTCTTAGGACAGATGCCTGAGTATTGTCTACCTGTTGTCAGAAATCAATCATTAATTTTTTTAATACCGAACAAATTATATACAAATCTTTATGAAAATATAACATGAAATCGAGTTTCAGGACTATATTATAATGGTTTTTTATCGCTATGTATATGTCTCCGTTCAGTCTGATTACATAAAATCATGAGTAATCTGTTTAAATGCGTATAAGGTTTTGCGTCAGGGTATATTCTGTACAATTAAAAAGGAAAATGAACTCTCAGTATGAATTTATTATCTGATTTTTATTATGTGGTACATCCAACAAAAATCATTTCATTGTGCACGAAATCCTATTGTAGCACATGCATATCTGGGACCAGAATTACCCGTTGTTCTACTACCTTCGTCTCGATTTCTTCCAAGATCATCCCTATTTGTATGTATAACAAGTGCCCGACCAATAAATCCATCAAATGGTCCTAGACCTTTTACAGTAACATAGAAATCAAATATTGCTACACCATTTCGTCCCACTCTAATGTTTCCCAAATCTCCAGCGTGTCTAGGGTATCCATGACGTGGACCATGACGTCTAGAATCAAAATAAAACGAAAAAGTAACTTTTATATGCTTTCTTTGGAAGTACACATATAAATAAAATCATGATTTTTATATTTTTATTTAAGAAAACTTGTAACTAGATTAAAACACTTATTACTACTTCTCCTTTTTTTTATATATATAGCTGTTAGATTTCAAATGAACTATTTACAATAACGAATGATTTAATGTTTTCAACTTCCGAAATATCCAAAGAATCACTTTAACAATACTCAGACTTTCTCTTCTGAAATGTTATAAAATTTATTTTTTATTTATTGTGACAGAAGACGTTTATTATCATTCAGTTGGTAGGATTTATCTAACGATTTCTACATCCCTGCTGATTAGACTGAATAACCAACTTCTGAAGACAAAATCAGTATTATCTTCTGAGTAAGGAGATCAACTTATCAGTAATTAGTGCATATTTGGTTTTGAAAGTTTCGAGGACGAAATTACAAGTACCCTCTTATGTTTGATACTATTCATCAACAAAATACATTTTCAAATTAGCGTACACTCATACTTATCAAAAGCATGAATTTGACGCTATAACTGAATGTGTCATGTCCAAGTTCATTGAGTGGCCACTGATATGTTTTAAAGACAGATTATGAACAGTGATTGATCACTGAGTAGTAACTAGTTTGATATTGTCTGCTTCGTAGTATTGAGTTTGTTCTGTCAATTATATTCAAAATATATCCTAATTGTAAATACTAAATGATATGTTATCAGATCATTTTACTTGGTAGTTCCCTCTAACATATGAATGTTGTTATTTGGTTAAATTGAAAAAAATGTAAACAGTGACATTGATTTCACTTCATAGACCTTTTTTTCATGTTGTTTTTATGCAAATAGGAAAGTCGAAAAACGATAAGGATAAATACTACATGTTTGTTGGAATAAAAAATTCACACCATTGTATGAAAAAATTATTTAAATCGCTAGTAATGATCAAACATTTCCTGGGTAATGAAACTAATAAAAAGCGTATATCCAAATTCATATGATAGCAAATTGAAATTGCTGATATTTTCGTCTTCCTTAGACCATTGGAGATTTCCACGAAACTTATATTTGCACTGTACTTTTCGTTTCTAGTTATTTACCAGAGTCAAATAGTAGGATCTCAATAGTTTTTTAAACATCTACCGTTTGTTGTATCTAAAAACAAAACTTATGTCCCAGGTGATGTCAAACTCTATTAATATTGAATTTTAGATTATGAAATTGATTCCTGAATTTATAAATCTCAATATTTTAAGTGAATAAAAACAGTGAGTCATTAATAAACAACGTTTCCAGACAAGTACATTTAACATGTCTGGATTATGGAGACCTCCACATCTGGGTGGGAGCACGGCATACAAAGGACTGCTTGGATGCAACTGGACGATTTGGACTTCACAGACGACCTAGCTCTTCTATTACATACATACGGACAAATACAGGTCAAGACGGCACTGTAGCAGAAGCCTCTATAGCAGAAGGCATCAACATACACAATGGAAGAGCAAGGTCCTAAAATCTAATACGGAGAACACCAACCTAATCATACTAGATCGAGAAACTCTGGAAGGGGTGGAGACTTCCAAGCACCTACTCAACATCATCGATGAACAAGGATGATCTGATGCAGACGTAAAGGCAAGGATTGGCAAAGCAAGGGACGCATTCCTACATTTGAAGAACATATGAAACCCAAAACAACTGTCAACAAACCTCAAAGTCATAATATTCAATAAGAGGGTCAAGATGGTTCTACTGTACGAATTTGAAACGCGGAGAACTGCTACAACCATCATCAAAAATGTACAAGTATTTATAAGCGATTGTATTTGCAAGATACTCAATGTCTGTTGTTCAGAAACCATCAGCAAAGACCTATTGTGGGAGAGAACAAACCAGCTTCCAGATGAAGAGGAAATCAGGAAAAGACAATGAAGGTGTATAAGACATGCTTTGAGGAAAACATTAAACTGAATCACGAGGTAAACGTTGACTTGGAATCCTAAAGGGAAATGAGAAAAAAGGAAGACCAAAGAATACAGTGCATCGAGAACTGGAAGCAGACATGAAAAGAATGAATAACAACTGGAAATAACTGGCAAGGATTACCCAGGACAGGGTTGGATGGAGAATTCTGGTTGACAGCATATGCTTCTACATAAGGGATCATTGGCGTAAGGAAGTAAAACTAACTAATCTAAAACATATTCAGTGATTAGAGTAGACACAGTTTGATTTCATAACTAGAATTTTATTTATATTCAGCTCTTTACACGAAGGTATATCAATAATATTCTAATATGTATTTCACATGCTTAATATGAAATATACAAAACGAAACCTTATAGCTTATTAAATATTGGATAAAAGCAGAACTATTATCGCTTTCGTATAATCAAAACACATTTTAGACACCATTCATGATATGTTATTTCGGAGCATAAGTTAAATGACTGCCCAGAGTAAGCTGATCATAAACTTACTGGTTGAATGGATTGAAATGAGGACCAGCTTCAAGACACATGTTTCCAAGTCCTCCATAACGATGAACATGTGTACCCAACAGTTTTCCAGGTGGGAGTCCTGCCACGCTTCCATTAACGTACATATAATCTCCTTGTTGTGTAAACCACACCGAACCTATATATGGTTCCTTTGTAAATGAAGCAATAGCCGGATCAAAATGTCTACGATGATAATCTAATGAATGTAATAATAACACAAAAATTTCTTCATTCAATCTTTATTTGACAGTCAGTTACAAAATAAGTATTAGACAAACATTAGACAACACAATGTAACTTACAGTATTTATTTTATACGGTTGTAACAGAAGTAAACATATTTTTTGATAGATTTATTTATTATAATAAATATGTTTACCATTACAAAATTTCCATTTACATAATTACTAGCTGTTAGAATAAACAGGTAAATGACTGATATTCAAGGTTCTTATTTCACTAAATGTTCTTGAAGTTTTTAACGACTTTGTATGCACCATACTGTGTAGTTTAAATTCATACTTACTATTTATCTTATATCTTTGTAAATGTTATATCCTCTTGAAATTTTAAAATAAATGCTGTGGTACTTATACGACCAGTTTCTTAAATTTATTATTGTAACATATTTAGAAGTCATTCAGAAAACATTATCAATAGATTCATCACTGGGATCGGTTGCCGATCATTTATATGTGATCACTTCTTATCATTAGTCAACCACTTTAATTGTGGTCATCTAAACAGTTGACTCATGATCATAGAAAACTAAAATAGTGTTTTGTAGCAATGAGTATTTGTTGTTTTGATTTCTACGTTATTTCCTATTTAGCTTACTTTTGTAATAATGTTTGCTTTTAATATCTGACATTTTCACCTGTAAGTAAACTTCGCATTCTTTATAAATTCCTATCTCAAATTTGATCTAATAAATTCAGACTAAGTAATATATTGTAGATGATAATTCTGAGGAAATATGCCCCGTAAAACCATAAAACATGAAACATTTATCTGTCTACTGACGTATTCTTTAGATTTTTATAGTATCCATTAAAAACGCACTCTTTTCTAACAGAGCGATAGGCAAAAGTAACAAATAAAACTGTTTTTTTTATGTATTATACTGTGCATTGAACAGCGATTTAGTTACTTGTATCTATACAATTTTTTTTCACGTTGATAATCAAATGAGGCTTATTGAACACTTCTACACATACATTTGTTTGTAGAGTTGATTCTTGAAAGATATTGGTCATAAACTTATCAGTTGAAAACTTCTAACACCATTAAACTATTAAATTAGACTAATGAACAAATATTTACACACAACAGTCATATCATTGTTAGCAATCAGATATTAGAATGTATAATTTTTCATTTTTACGTATATAAGGAACTTAATGCAATCTTTATCAATCGAAGGAAAAATTGCTCGTTGTTCACAGAATATCATAGGGGGAAATACTAAAGAAAACGTAGATGTGTTCTCATTTTAGAATGAAAGTAGTGAAACTGAAGTTGTGTGAAATTCTCTGGATTAGAATTATTCTCTAACTCTAAGCCATAGTGTGCCCAATGTATTTCACTTATAGTAATAATCATATCATGAAATCAATGAACAGAATAAGGTTAGTACTAAACAATAGACTAACATTACATTAGTTGGAATTCGATGGTCAGTCAGAGTGGCTCTATGGATTACTTCGAAAATGTAAGAAAAACTTTGAAAATTAAGCAATCTCAAGTATGCAAGCAATATTTCTGACGAAGTGTGAGAATGTATTTCACACTTAATCGAATTCCCTCTCTGAATGCTTGCAAATAACAAGAAACTAATACATTTTATTAGCTCCATGTTATTTGACTGACATTATGCTTTTGTCATTGCGATTCTATTTCAGACTCTTATTTTTAAAAACCTGAACAAAAGAGTCAAATATATAGTGTAATTCAATATTATTCTTATTCTAATTCAATGAGTAGTGGTAAAAGGTTGTCTTTAAGTATACTTAGATCGTCATGGACATTTTCTTTTCTTTCCACATTAAGATAAAATTCAAAAACAATTTTTGAATGGAAAATGTAATTTTGACATGACTGTAATCGCAAAATAAGGTTTTGAGGAATATATATATATATATATATATATATATATATATATATATATATATATATATATATATATATATATGAAACGTACATATTTAACTTACATGAGTAACCATATCCATATGCGGAACAATAATTATCAAGAAGAATAAATAATATAACTAAATAGGAATATACTGTCATTTTAATTAATTTCTAAAACATTTTAGCGATGCTACATTTATGTAATTAGTGTACAGTGAAGTTATTCGTTGCACTTTCGATTTTTTTCTCATCTGCTCAGAATACTCAGTTCACATATTGACCACATGGTTATTGTACAACATAGTTACTTTATTTCCACTTTTAGTACTCGATTTAATTAATTAATTAATAATAATAATAATAATAATAAATCTTTCTGTAAAATTGATTAACATCATGCATAGACGAAGTTAATCCATAAATTACATAGTTGCGCAATACATTTTTGGAACAAACGGATAATAGATTTATCTTCAATGATTTGTAATAGGAAAATAAAGTGAAGCTGATTAAACTAGGTATGGCCTTTTGAAAAGTTTGGGAAGAAATAATCGATTGTACAAAGAACAAAACGTAATAACAGCTATAAACTTATTACTACCCTAGTAATCCAATTATTTTGTGTGTTTTTTCTTGGTCAGTAGTTTTGTTTTGGTTAATATTTAGTTTTGTATTATATTCCTCTTCCATTACCTAATTCTCAAACCACCCTTTCGGTCACACATTTCCGCTCACTTGATTCTCTTAAATTATGTGAACTTTTCAAATTCTATTCAATTATTACGTAACCCATCCTATTTGTATGTAAGAACTTTCATCTAAGTTAGAGCGAATAGTTTCACAATATTTGGGCGCCTAGTTGATGTAAGACATTAAATAGGAATAATATATTCGCTGAGATTTTACAAATATATTATTCCTATTTAACGATTTGGTGGACTTTGAAAATGGCGTGAACTGCTATTGTCGGTTTAATTTGAAGTCTGTTCAGTTCTACGGGATTATTAGGTGGTTTCTTTGTGTACCTAATACGTTCGTGCTCGAATGAAGATTTTCCTGTAACTCGATTAAAAATTATGAACGTTGTATCGTCTAATAATCAACTGAGGTATTGATTTACTACTATCAATTCATGAGAAAAACTGGCTTCAAACAGAACTAATCTTTACAAACTAATAACTAGTGGTGTTATTGAGACATATTCCTAAAATTGTAGTGAGAACTAGTGACTAATAAAACCCAGCAATGTCAAATGTGAATACATTATTCATCACTGTCACCGAATAACTGTTATGGTATATCTCAGATTAACAACATTTTAAAGTGTAAATCACTGTATTTCAATTTGCTGACTTGTAGGTGTCGTGCTCACTATGAGACCTGAATATACTCAGCACAAGCTCACATTTGGGTGTTGTTGGACACCTCTATTAAGTCCAAAACTTCCAGGACTTCTTCCTTTACTGCCGTTTATTTCCAATGGTTTCCCACAAAGTTAGGCTTCCGGAAGAAAAACGAATAATGGAGTGGAGAATCCTGATAAATTTAATTGAAGGTAAAATAATTTATGAAAGTGAGACAAAAAGCCATAACCTTTCTTTCGGCTTATGATGTAGCTCCTAAGACGCTTTAATTTAAAATTTCGTACTGCTGTTTAGAATAAATCTGACGGTATTTTAATTTTTGATAAACGAACCCGCCAATGACATCAATAAACCGCCTCCACCACATTAACTCTCTTTGACACTTTATGAATATGACTTGCTTATTCACCAATTATAATTGTTATGTTTGCCATTAACGATATTCGGTTTTAACAGTTAGATTCACGAGTCAATCTAAGCTAGACCACTATTGAAAACCTGTAAGCACTGAAAGGCCGCTTCGTCCTTGTGTGGAACTCCTTGGAAGTTCGCATCCATGATCCCTCACGTGAGACTCAAACCCAGGACCTTCAGTTTCGCGTACGGACGCTTAGCCTCAAGAGCACTGAGCCGGTATGCAACTGTGTTAATGTCGAACTAAAGCTGATCCGCGGAGGGTTGGACAACCATTCATCCATTGTCTGAGGTGGATAACTGTCTCCACTCGGTACGGACTGAACTCCACTGGTCACAGCTTCTCACTAGAACTCCATCTTGAAGCCAGTCACTAGTGAGCACATGATTACCATCAACGTGGGTTCGAGCCCTGTTCGCAGGATCGTGGATGCGAACTTCCGAGAAGTCTCACACCAGGACGAAGCTGCCGTCCAGTTCTTCCAGGTTTCCAATAGTGGCCTAGCTTAGATTGATTCGTGAATTTAACTTTTAAAATATTGCAATCTCCACAAATCTCAATACTGATATTAGGTTTGTTGACTCATTTTTTCTGTCCTCTGGTTACTGTTCGGTATGTTATTCATGTTTTTTTTCTTTTTTCCTGTTTTTTTTAATTACTAACAATTATAATATACGCTCTAGAAACAAATGAATTTTACCGAATTATATGGCTGACTTGTTCTGACTTTGGCTAAGCCAAGACTCTGTGCTCGACGTTCTGGGGAATAGTGCAGAATTGCGTCTGTAGGAAATTATTTCCAATAGTAATCTTTATTTCGTTTAGCCGTAGAATGTAAGTCACAATGACTAATCTTTGTGGTAAGTCTAAGTTACCCCTGACACAATGGAGCATGAGACAAAATTCCACTATTAAATAGGTACACATCTTATTGGGAAACATTTTAAACTCTTAATTGTAGTGGCGAGTAAAATATAGAATACCGGTAAGTCTCAGAGAATCGGAATATTACTGCTTTAGAAAATAAAGTATTTGTATCTTTTCTTTGAACCTCAGGGTAAAATAATTTTGTCATTATTTCATGTAATTTGGAACTAACATTATCGCATAAGCTATGATAATAAATATCCCTTGTCAGTAAATGCAAAAATAAATAAGCCTTAACATGATTATTCAATATCCAGTAACAGCAAAGCTGAACGTATTCTTTAATTTTCACATATGACTGATTCACTGCTTTATTAACATTGCACATGTTAATGTATGAAATGTGACAGTTTCATACTACAGGAAAACAGTATATTTCCACTTGCAGTTTTAGGTTAAATAAATAGGGCGTATATGTGAATAAGATCATGTACAAATGATACTAAGTAATAAGTACAATTATATATTGCGATAATCTCAATGACCATGGCGTAACTAAATATGTTCAACTTAGTTCATGTACTAACTGTTTCTCAGCAATCTCGCGAGGCAAGATCGTGGATGCGCACTATTGAGGAGTTCCATAATAGGACGAAACGGCCGTCCAGTGCTTTCAGGTTTTTCACGGTGGTCTAGCTTCAATTGATTCATGATCTCAACTATTACAATTTTTAAGTATGTAGATTATGTTCAATTCCAAGTACTATTGCTTTCTATGCTGTTCAACAGACAGTAAAAATAATGCATATAATTTATATTTTCTGACAGATACATTTCTCAGTATATTGACAAACTGATATTAATTCATAAGTAGAATATTATTACGTATTTTCTTTATTTGCGAACTATATTATTTCACATTTGATCCAATCATATACCATCATTTATTAGAATTATTTTGATCGAATTCATGTCTGATCTAAGTGGATTTCTTACAAACGCTGATAAATTATAACGACCTCAGTAACACTTCCAGTCATTATAAATTAATATTAGTAAGTACGAAACTTAATTATACTAAAGTATGAAGCTAATCAACGTTCTTAGTAACAATGTACGTTAGGACGGCTGTAATACTAACTATGCATCAGTCGCATTCTCTTTTAAAATACCAAAACCCCACATAGAATGTAAAACTGAAGTTATTCATTCATATTTATTAATACATACATTTAACAAAACCGAATACAATAACAGGAATACGTTCAAATCTATTTGTGGATGGCTATAAAAAGGGCCTTTATCTGTCTCTTAGTTCCCAGTTTACACATGTTCCTTGTCTAGAATATTACGTTCTTCGATAACCATACGATTTATAATCGATTCTCACAACAAATCTAAGTACACATTGTCTCTTATCAATCGATGGAGCTTCATAATTGTGTGTGTCACTTTCAAGAAATCGGTATTGTCTTGTTCAGAAAAGGAATCTTTTAACTGAAACAAGTATGACCATTTTCAACCCTTCAGTATTAACTGATCTTCTATGTATCGATGATACGTTACATCTGACGTTTTGATCACTGACGAAGAATTTTGTAAACTAGAAGGCACATTTGTTCAGTGCAAGATTTATCTGTCCATGTTTTTATTTAACATCTGGTGAAAGAACAACTGAGTGTTTTTTTCACATTACAGCCTCTTTAGTCCTATTTACTATTGACTGTTAAATGAACAATCTCCCATCAAAATCAAATTAATCAAGAACAGTAGTCAAACTGGTTTGATCAGTGTTGGAGCTGAAAAATTACTGCAGATCATTATCTTCATCTATTTGATTCTCAAAATCCAACAAAGGATGTAATATGACTTTGTGTGACCTTGTGTCGTATATTAAAAACATCCTATGAACTCATCTCAGTCAGTAAACCTCTCGGGAAATAATGTTATGAAATTAATCAATCTATATCTACTATTTAGAACTGGCAGACCGTATAGCTGGTGCTAGATAAATTACTAACGTTCAGAGTTAGGAGAAAAAGCCATTCATTTTACTGGACGAAATGGGAAGAAAAAAGTTTCAAGATGGGATGAAAAAAGCCTTTATCTTAAAAAAAATCACCGTGGTGTAAATTTTGTTTTTATTTTTGTGAGGCTATTACGTGAGACTTTGTTCTTATTCTCTCATAAACTCTCAAAATTCTAGTATCTTAATTCTGACTTCTGAGCTATACGCACACCTAATTTATGTTACATGATTGATCTTCTGTTTTGAGGAGAAAAATACTTTTTATTTATATACCTTTCTAAAATATATGTGTATTGAACCTATAAATATGAGAACGTTTGAACTGTTTTAGTTCTTTTGTATTATGGTCTCTCAATATTATTCTATCTCCACATTTGAACTTAGTTTATTCTAGACGTTACTGATAGAAAGTATGTAACCTTGTTTTCTTTAAGTGATAAAGACTTTCATTTTAGGTTCTAAGTAGCTGAGGAGATATGATATTTGTTCTTTCTCTATCCAATTAAAATTTATAATTTTATACTGAACCGTTCCTTGCCCAACAACTTTGTTTTCAATTTTAACTGGGTAAGAACACAAGTGTCTGAGCTAGGCTTCACAGCTATTCCTAATTCCAAACCGTATTAGTTGAGGTTAAAGCTAGTCCATGTATTCAAGTCATCGAACGTTGTGTACTATAGAAATAATATTTCAA